CTTCGTCTTGAAAGATAGATGAATTGTTTAGAACCTATGCTGCTAGATCAGGCGTCGAGTACTAACACGAAGCGAGGAAATTTAAGCATAGGGATTGGGTTCACGAAAAGCTTAAAACCTAAAGAGGAAATCTCATCGTGAAAATTTAATCTCAATGATACTTTATCAATCTATTCAAGATGAAAACTGGGGTCTTTTACGACGATGCCCTGGAAACTCTACGCCAGTCAATGCGACCTAACAAAGTATTATTTTCCATCCCCTATTCTTTCCGCCATTTTACATAAATATTTGCTACACACACGAGTCTAGACGGATCTTGACTAATGATGTTTCTAGCCTTATTTTTGACGTACAATATTGATTCAGTAGCGTCGGCCCGCTGCGCTCGAGTCATAGGTAGTGTGGGATAGTGGGATGTCTAGAGTCGCTAACATCAATCACCGTTCAGCTACCCTATCAGCCTTGACTTCTTCAAGCCACTCGGCAGTTAGGATGACATGTGAGAATGTCTGTGGCGCCGGCGATGTCTTCCCAACATCGGCGAAGCTCCGATTTGTGGCTTGCGTCCTTTCTCCTTTCGCCTATTACACGGGCAACTCATGAACGCTACGGGAGGGGGAAAACAAGGTTATCATCAGGCATTTTCCCCCGCGGTCTCGAATTGATTCTACCCCAGGAACCAGAAGAATGCAACGGTCGCAACGTTTTTACTGGAGTGGGATGAAATGCTGCGACGGAGATGGTGTGAAGAGGGAAGAGATATTTAATGCAAAGGATCTTTTGAGTTGGAGGATTCTTTTATCTCTGAGACGTGCTGATGCATGAGTAAGACACCTTGTCCTTGAATGGACGGCAACTCGGCTGCGCACCCACATTCCGGGGGCACTGATCACACATCGGGAGACGGATCACTCGGTTAGTTAGTCGCCCTCAGTCATTCTAGATCTCTGCCTCTGGCGCGTTTGTGTCCCTATCACCAGCCCTGCTGATTGAACACATGGCATGATGCAATCAGGCATTTTGTGCATTAGCCCAGCCCAAGGAGAACCAAAACATCTTCTGACTAGATCATCGGGAGAGACGGGGTCAGCAGAGTTCAGTCCAGCTCATTCCATAGAAGCAGGGGTCCGCATCCTGATACGAATTACCGTAAAGGAGGGCTGAAAATAAACCCGCACTAGCGATCTTACCCCGGCTTCCCAACCTTACCCCTTACCGGCAAGCAAAGCGAAAAATGCCTAGACCATATGCCGGAAGTCAAGTCAAAACTTTAAATGCGTGCTCATCTCTCTCCCCTCATTTCTCCCCGCTCACAAGCACGAGTCACGACCTTACAGAACGGGGTTAGTTTCTGCGCAGCTTGTTTGACCAAGCTCGTTAGTTCGAAACCGATGTACCCAACCGTTGACGCCTCCCCATGGGTTGGGCTGCCACTTGCGGAGAACCCGTCACTCACTTGTCAGGATAGCCTGAGCGCTGGTATCGTCTCGCGGACCAACGAGCCAATCTCTTACCGCGGAGAGCACTGTATCCGACGCCATGGAATCAAGGGTATCCCTCTCTAATTTACAATGGTCAAAAACTAATCAACCAGTTGCCTTTTTATCGAAGGGGGGTTATCGGGAACTTTATGATATGACAGCGGTGCAGCTGAGATCCAACTAGCTGGAAAGGAGGGCGATCATCGAGGCCAAGATCTTCATTTAACGCCATCAATGTCACATTGCTTTTTCCTTCTCTTTTTTCCTTCTATTTTCTCCGACCTCCATTACTCGTTTTTCTTACCATCCATACCACCTTTCGACGTTACCTTGATCGACAATGGCGGATGCAGCGGTGCCGGTGTTTTTCGAGCTCAGTTGGTCTATTTTGATGACCATCTGCATGGGCAATGTCTTGCTGGGATGTCTCGTCTGCGGTATCACCAATTGGACTCTCCTCGCCGCTGTGCCCATGTTTTCGTCAGCGGCGGGAGCTATCGCCAATGGATTGTGTTACTATGTGTATTACCAGAAGCATCCTGCGATGATGCTTGCCATTGCGTCGGTGTTTGCTGATATTTTCTGGCTGGTACGATTGATGCGTGTCTCAATTGGAGATGCCGAGCTGACGGTCGCTAGCTGCAAGAAGCCGGTCTTCTTTTCTACAGTTACATCATCCTGAAACGAGTCCTTCGAGGAACACGATGGAGGGTCTTCATGTCGATTTTCTGGTCGGGCATCGCCGGCATTTGCGTCGTTCGCGTCGTGATCATCACCTTCCGAGTCAAATCAATCCTCGCCGGCAATGAGGACCTCTTGACTACCATCAACCATATCCACATCGCCTACTTCGGTCTCATCGCGTCGCTCGAATGTCTCAGCGCATACTTCCTCATCGTCCTCTTTACATCGGCCAAGACATCATCTGCCGAGATCGCGCGCAGTGGTGGACTTTTCCAATACTTGGCTCGAAGCACAGAAATCAGAGTCGCTTTGCTTGCCTTGCAAGGTACTCTTCGCGCTGTGACGCATTCATTCAAGACAGCTGGTCAGACGGCCGAGAACATTGCTACCCAGCTGGACCGATTCTTCTACGCCGTCTTCTGCCTGTACTCCATGGTGCTATAGTAAGTCCTCCTCCATGCTCACCTACTTTTTGAGCCATTGACCTAACTTCTGTAGCATTGATCTTCTTTCATCCAAACTCAAGTTCAATGGCACCCAGGATTACCCCTCTTCTCGCGATCGCTATGTCCATCAGAGCAGTCAACCTGGTCGCTTCACCTCAACACAAAAGGATGACTTTGCTCAAAATAGAACAGAGCATGTCGTCGGTGTTGATGGTGGTACTCGCACCCATAAGACACGAAATGATTCTACAGATCATATCATTGAGGGCGGTTCCTCACAAGGCGATGGGTCAATTAACCTGGAGGATATGGACCTCAAGGGCAATGTGATCAAGAAGACAGTCGAGTTCAGAGTTGTGTAGATTATTTCTCATTTTCGTTCGGCGTGTTGAAGATACCAGATATAATGCTTAGTTCATTGTCATTTTCATATTGTAGTAGGTAGACAGCGCATCTCAAGATTAATGATCGTTAACGACACGAAGTAACCCCTGCAAAGTGATCGCCTCGGTTCGTGAGATCGGTTAATATCTTCCGAACCGAATGATAACTGACATGGCAGTACATGAGTCAGAAACACGATGATCCGGCAGAATGCTGCAAGACTCCTTTTTCGTATCCACTGATCAGCACGCCCGTCTCGTGGCAACTTAGGGCCAATCCATTTCCCTATTCGGGTCTCGACCGAAGCTGAAACGCCGGAGAGTGTAGAGATCGTCAGCACTGCCTCAGCTTTGATTTCGAAGGTTAATGGCCCAGCTGAGAGTCCCAAGATACATGGCATCGGTATAAAGTCTGTTCCTGGACTTGACGCACTGCAAGACAGCAAAAGCAGTCAATTCACTATTACTTACATTATCTAGTCTACTTATTCGTACCTGGTATGTTGATATCTTGCCTTGAAAGACTGAGATTATCCGAAGGATTAAGTTAGACTTTTTAACTATCTTTGGAACTCATGCACAAAGGTTCCCTCTCTCTACCAAGACACGCCACTAGTCATAATGGCATGCAACCACTACCGTACTTCTTGACAGTCTCCCTGACCTAAATGATGCGCTGATCTTCTTTCACATTGTCTCAGTATGTGATCCCCAGCCTCTACGATATCACACCAGCCGAGGGGGCCGGCATTATACGGATCAAACTTGATTGTATCGTCATAAATCTACTGACCGCCTACTAAGCCCACTGTCGAGGATCAACAGTCCTTACGAAAATATGCAGTGGGTTTTCGTTGAACCTTGCGTTGGCATGCCTCGACGATCTGAGTGACAGTGAACTTCGCCCCCGTATCAATGGCATGAGGGACAACACGTGTGACACCTGTAATGGTATGCGAGAACCCAAAGTTTTTCCGGTAGTTCTCCTCAAAGTTACATCCTTTTATATTTTAGTGAAAAGGAGTCTTTTGCAGCATAGCCTTCAGTATTCCTATAGACTCAACCGCCACAGGGCTCCGACGGCGCCAATAAATGCCTCTCTCTGGGGAACGTTACTTTATTATATGCTCCAGGACTTTTGGGTGTCGCATGAAGTACTGTACGATTATTTGAGGATACGAGCTGAAAAGATTTCTATCTGAGCTCTACAATCATTACCATGTGAGCTAACTACCCTCCATCTGTTTGGTGTTCTTGGACATATTATCAGGACTGGCGGGAATGGATAAGGGTTCTTTTAGAGACTCTGGGTCATCCGGATCCCCCAAATTCATTAAGTCTCACGGAGTTCCTAAGCTGATTAATTTGGAGTGTGAAAATTGAAATAAAAATTAGTTTTGTTACCGCCGTTTGCATATTCATTGTGTCTAACGGTGAAAAACGAATCTCAGCCAATTGAGATACTACTGATACATAGTCACATTATGAACAGCTTCTAGTGATTTATCAGTAGTGTTTTGACTGTTCTTTCCCTGAAAAAGGCTTGAATCGGCTTTGAAATACTAAATACACATCTACAAGGAGAGTTATTTATGTTCTTCAGGGTAACTTTAGATGTCACGGACTGTACTTAGACCCCAAGCCGCTTAGTAATTGTCTTCTGAACCAAACCTCCGAGCCAGATTCGAAGCCACGCAATAAACTAGACCAATTTGAGAAATCGGCTTGGAGTCACTTTGTGAAGCAGGCCGTCGGAGGACTTCCGAATTCCGAATTACTCATCTGGAGTTGAGTGCGCTAAATTCCGGGGAAATAAGTGGACCATGCAGGTGATCTAATCTGGGGTAAGAGATCATCGAATAGCGTCGAGCCCTTTTCCCCCAAACTTCAGCGTCTTTGCTACGACTATTCTTCATGCTTCACACCCGAGCTCCTTTATTTGTCGCCGTGAAGGTAGACATCGAGGGTAGTAATCTCCTATCAACTTGAGAGTAAACAGTATCATGAGCCCGCCCAGCACCCAGCCAGAATTCTCATGCGAGACGTGCAACCTCCCATTTCAACGTAAGGAACACTACCAGCGACACCTGCGCACTCATACAAAAGAAAAGCCTTTCGCATGCTCCGAATGTGGACAAAGCTTTGGTCGCGTGTAAGTTAGCCCTGCCGACCTGGTTGCGTCATGCCCTACCTATCTGCACCATCCAGAAGCTGCACCAGTGCTGACCTCTGTAGCGACTCTCTTGCTCGTCATCATACAACCCTACATCTGACTGCGGACCGTCAAGACAGCCGCAACCGTCCAAATGATCGCCGTCGAGTATCGCAGGCTTGCAAGCCATGTAGCACCTCAAAGGTGAGATGCGATGGTGAGCACCCATGTCAGCGATGTCGGCAACAAGACAACGAGTGCTACTACGAGCCACATGCGAAGCGAAAGATGTCAGAGACGAGTTCTGACAGACCAACCAGCAAACGGAATCGAGAAAAAGCTCCAGTCAATGCTGAGGTTATGGAAAGCATTAATGTCAGCGTGAATAGCAGAAACTCACCGCTCTCACCACCAGCAACAGTCCAGGACAATGGCTCCAACAAGACTAATTATGCCGCCAACTATATGTCACCAGCCCAAGATACCTTCATTGAGCTATCCAAACCCGACGACTTCAATACCAACGCTCCGCCCATCGACCCTTTACTCGATGCACGGCATAGCGCATCCATCGGGTATCATGGCCCTCAGGCTGGAGCCGCAGACGCCCTTTTCGACACTGACGATATATTGGCAAACTTCAACTCTACAAATACAATGCCAGCACCGCTACCCTCAATGCTTTTTGGCGATGCCTTCGATACCAACGGATGGCTCAACTATGGCGCCGACCAATCATTTGCGCCCCTCTTCCTTCAGAACGATGCATCTCTCGACGTCATCAACGAACTGTGGTTTGACCACGCAGGGCTCAAAGCACCTCAGCAGCCCATTCTATCACAACTCACACCAGCCTCTTCCTTGGTAGATCAGTCAGCTGTGGCAGAGCTCTATAGCCGCAGTCACTCTCCCGCCATCGATAGGGATGCGGTCGAGCCTAGAGAATATGTCGCTGTCTCAATTGAGCTGGACGCCCAGCTCAACTTTCCAGACCTCTCACACCTGACGGCCGAGGACGTTGATCACGAGAATTTGGCTCATGTAGATGATATCTCCGAGGAGGTGGCCAAGAATGTAGCCGAGGCAGCAGCAGAGATACAGAACGGCGGTAATTTCCCGCATTTCAGGAACTTGGCCATTCCGCCGACGCCAGTGCTAAACGCTTGGGTACAATTGTACTTTGAGTACTTTCACCCTGTTATGCCCATTCTACACAAAGCGACCTTCTCTTCGTCTAAGCGGCATTGGTTACTTATCTTCACAGTGGCCGCTATCGGTGCGCATTTTTCGAGCATCAAAGATGCCCAGGCGTGCTCGAGGGCAATGCATGAGACTATTCGACGACAATGCTCAACCATGGTGAGTATTCCTAGCTAAGGCAGAACGAGGGATCCGAGGCTGATGAAACAGTGTGAACGCCAAAACTCCAACGGAAGAGAGCTTTGGATGTCACAGACTATCCTCCTGAACCATATCGGCTTGCTCTATGGCGGTGAGCGGAGGTCTCTCGAAATTGGCGAATTCCTGCAAGCATTACCTGTAACACTCGGAAGACGAAAAAGGCTGTTTACAAACATGTTTCCCGTAGACAAGTTTGCTCAGCTGCAGTTGCCACATGCCCAGAAGTGGCAGATTTGGCTGCTCGACGAGGAGCGGCGACGGGCAGGCTTTGCCATCTGGGTGAGTCGATAATCGTGATGTATGGCTGGTTCTGTACTGAGTATTGAACTGTATAGCTTCTGGATTCTGCTTTTAGCTCGCACTTTGATCTTACAAGTCTTATGAGGCTGTCTGAACTGCAGATATCCCTGCCTCAGCCCGATGACCGTTGGGGCGCATCGACTGCCCAGTGCTGGGCCAACTTTCCTGCAGTCGGTAAGTTCTAACCAACAAGAGTCTTCTGATCTGTACTGACATACGAAGAAAATTCGGGCTCTGGCGGACTTCCCACGATGGAGCGCGTGATCTCTGAAGATAGTTGGCCATTCGTATGGTCCAAAACAAACACCTTGGGCAAACAGGTTATGCTGCAGCATCTCACCAATGTCATCAAGGATAGAAGTGCAGAACAGCCTGGCACCCCGGGCTTCTCATACCACGACAAACTACTCGCGTCGAATGTCATGACTGATCTTCTGAACCTGATTGAGACCGACCAGATGGAGCAATCTGTTGATGAAGCCAAGGCATCGACAACGCACAAGATCATGGCACTGACTGCCTTGATGACACACAACACTCCAGTCCAGAACCTCATTCCAACGATTATTCGATGCATATACGGCAAACTCGAGAATAAAGACTGGGAGGCAATTCGCGATCGGTGGAGAGGGACGTCCGGACAAGGAAGGCTGGGATGCTTCTACGCGTCGCGCATCCTCCACGTAGTACGCTCAAGCCGGTCATCGCACTTCGGGACCCCCGTCTCACTTCTCCAAGCTGTGTTGGTTCTGTGGCTTTACTCATCGCTCGCTGAGCGTTACAGTGATGGGTTTTTGTTCTCACGCGCGGCTCCAGCTGTGGTCCTTGGCCCGAAGCCCCTGGACCTGATGGAGACTAACACTTGGATCGAGATGGGGTGGAGCCGAGTCAAGTTGCCGGGTATCGGCAATTTACTTTGTGCAGAGGGTAGGGCCAAGTTGTTGGATGATGCGGTAGTGCTTATGAGATCACTGAAGGGCTGGGGAATTAGTCATGCTTATGCTCAGATCTTGCTGCGACTTCGAGCGAGTGAGACTTAGAGTGCGGTCCATGGATGATGTGCGGTTGGGATGATATGTGTACACAAGGCCCAGCTTATTCTTGTACAGGTGTTTTGAGTTATTCCACCCGTGGTCAAAACAAAAGCCTTCTTTACTTGTAACAAGGACTTTTATCATCGTCTTGATAACGCTCTGTAGCCTGCAACCTCCCACTGTATAGTACCCGGCCTTAGCTGGGTGTCCCATCGGCAGTCACTCTGCTACATGAGCTCATGATAGTCCATATGCATCGCGCCCCAATAAATCGTTCTTAAAACTCACTGTGAGAACGAGTATATCTATTTAAATACCAATATTTCTTCACCTAACCATGCTCCAGGGCAGTGGACGAGCCTGTCCTCTCGGCTTCATCGGCTCCACAATCGTTGGCAGTCACTGCATTCCGTAATTCCGACGGACTTGATGGAATCTACTTCGACATTAAATAGCTCATCAGACCATGAAACCTTAATCTTTGCTTAAATGAGTTGGCCCTGACCCAATCGTGACACTGATTCGCAAGCATACATCTCATACCCTTCCAGCCTTCCCCATCATGGCGCCTACCGTTCTTGGAATAGTTGCCTCGACTCGCACTCAGAGAGTCCTGCTTACACTTGAAGAGCTCGGCATTGAGTATGACTTCAAGGTTATAGACCTTTCCAAGGGACAACACCATGTGAGTCATAGCATGGGTAGCGTTGAAGCTAGGAGCTTACATAAACACAGGATCCGGAATACGTCAGAGACCATCACCCATTCGCCAAGGTCCCAGTGTTCCAAGACGATGGAATAGAGATCTTCGAGTCCAGAGCCATTGCTCGATACCTCGTCGCTAAGCATCAGTCGCACCTTGCTCCACCGACCGGTAATCCAGAAGCTTTGGCTGTTTTCGAGCAAGCCGCTAGTGTTGAATATGCCTATTTCGAACCTGCTGTCTCTACCCTTGGATTTGAGCTTATCTTCAAGAAGTAAGATACCAAAACAAACTGGTTCGTTGATAAGAGGACAAGTTTTCGGCTGACTGATTACTTACCAGGATGTTTAACCTCGGGGATACCGATCAAGCCGTAGTTGACCAACAGAAGGCTCTGCTCAATACCACGCTTGACTACTACGAAAAAAGACTCGAGGCTCAAGATTATCTTGCAGGAAAGGTTAGTGATTTACAGATCCTCTGTCGCGCCGTAAGTCATTGACCTATCAATAGCACTATAGCCTTGTTGATCTCTTTCATATCCCTTGGCTAGGGTTTCTCAGAAATCGATTGCAGCTTGGAGAGGTGATTGATTCTAGGAAGAATGTGGCTGCGTGGGCTGAGCGCATAAGCCAGCGTGACGCATCAAAGGCTGTTTCGGCCAAGGCCGTACATTAAATAGTTTTCAGAGAGTTTCATATAATCTAACGATAGACAAAAGAAATTCATTCTATGTAGAAGTTGAAAGAATAATGCTGGATTACTTTTAAAAGCAACGCTCGAAGGCACTGGATCTAGGAGCCGGCCCATAGTCAGTCCCACAATAGGAATTGCACATCGTATGAACATGGAAAAATGTGATGTAATTCTAAGCCTTTGAGGCTTTTTATTACAGCTAACCTCTTCTAATATTAATGCCGAAAGATGACTTGTGATATCTAATGGAGATGGATTTAGGCCTAGATGACTGTCGCTATCAAATCGAATTTCTATTCTACCGCAATGGCCTGTAAACGACACACCAACATGACCGCAACACCAAAGCCTCCGAGCCCAACGCAATCGTTACTCAATCATTTCTTGGCAGGTCAATAATCTGAACTTTCTCTACCAAAGGGCCCAGCTCTGCCACGACAGAGAGGTGGGCTGGGTCCTTGAGGGCGTAGTAGTCCCTGTCCTCAGGACTGTCGAACTGGATGACGAATGCATGCGTGATACCTTGCTATTGTAGTCAGCGATATTGATCGAAATGGGATGTGATGAGTAGACGATAGGGGCAACTGCTGGGCAAGAAAGTCATGGGTGATCTCACCTGGAGGCCTTCTGGCGCACTATCAGCGCCACCTTGGATGGATCGGATGTAAGGCTGCTTGGATTCAGGGTCCAAGCACTTTTCCCTCATTTCCTGGATCTTGGCGGATACCTAAGGACTTAGTCAATAACTGCCTTGAGGAGTTCGAGGATTGCCGACCTTGTCGATTGCATCGCTGCTGGTATCGGCCTTGAACTGAAACTGAACGACACGATTGATACCCATTTTGAAGCTGGCGTTGAAAGTACTCGTGATAAATGTTATGTGCGTGACTTGATCCAGTGAGTGGCGGTAAGCTCTATCTCGAACTAGTGATTATAAATAGGCCTAAGATGTGTTCGGAAAGACTGCTGAATTTCCGATTTCCCTTTTCCCCGCAAGTAAACTTCAACGTGGAGCCGACAGATCGTGGGGAAATCGTTCCCCACTCAAGTATACCCCAGATTAGCAAACCTGGGGAGCACAGCTTTTGATCTCGTGACTCGTGAGGATCAATGCATGGAAAAGCTACCGATTGCCTGGGCTTTCCATTATAACGCTTCATCTGGAGATTCTGTAGATAATGGACTTGGAAAGATCACACTGATTCTTGATTTCAAAAGATAGCAAAAGTTCATCTTGTAAAGCTCCAATGCACTGCGCTGATCAGAAGGTCTAATTCATGGACAATTTTAGAGGACTGGCCTTAAAGCCTCAACCAATCTATTTAGCATAGCCTCAAATTGCGCTCTTGTCGCTTGGCATACCCCAGGCCGTAGTGGGGTATCCGAAGTGGTACCCGTGCATGAATCTGCAATCACGAAACTATTTATGATGATACAGTTCCCTTGATCAAATCAGGGCAGTCATCACGACAAGTGAATCCGAGTCTTAATCAACGGTACGCATAAAATGGATTCCGCAAGCACTGAAAAGGCAGAAGTGTCGAGGGTGGAGAATACCAGCCGAGCTCCAAGCACCCCAACAGGTCAAGAGCTGCGAGACCATCCAAAGGTTTGTTACCCCCTTTACTCCCTGTACAATACTAATCGTTACCGACAGACGTGGAATCGGACCCTGAAGCTGATGGTCCTGGCAAATCTTTGCTTTATGGTGTTTTGCGGTAACTTCTATTCGGTATTCTCCTTTATTCGCGCTTTCAGAAAAGCTTGACTAACCATTGTGCTTCAACAGGCTGGTATTTCTGCTGGGTTAACCCCTCTCGTATACGACTTTCACAGCAACTATGACAAGGCGGGCGATATTGTCGCGTACTCTGTGCTCTGCATTGGCCTGGGCTCCTTCATATGGATTCCGACTGCTGTAGTGATTGGAAAGCGACCCGTCCTGCTAGCCTCCCAATTGATGTTCACGGCTGGATGTATTTGGTGTTCGCAGGCGAGATCAATGGAGAGCCTTCTAGGTGCTCGAATCCTTGGTGCGTTTGGTGCTGGCGCGGTTCAGGCTGTTGGTCCTGCTGTCGTAGGAGGTAAGAAAACGGCCCATTGATCTGAATACCAGTCAACCTCTGACGCCTCTTATCACAGAAATATTCTTGGAGAAGAACTACTCTAAAGCCATGGGCTTATACGCAGCGAGCCTCTGTATCGGAGCTCAAGGCGGACCTCTGATCGCAGGCCACTTGATCGAGGCCAAGGGATGGAATTGGTTCTTTATCCTGATCGCTATTCTTAGCGGCTTCAACTTCCTGACATTGGCCTTCTTCTGCCCAGAGACTGCTTTCAATGTCGAAATTGAGGCGGGCGCTACTAGTGCTGACGTCGACGCGGATATCCTTGACCAGACGACTGGGCTTGGCCGCACCCAGAGCTCCCTCACAATATGGAAGCAGAACTCTTTCTACTCGAGACATCCACACGTGAGAGGTGGCGGCTTGAGACAATGGTTTCTTTCGTTCTTGCTGCAGATCGAATTCATGTTCGACCCCATTGTGATTCTCTCAGCGGGTATGTGGGGAATTGTGTTAGCTTGGTGAGTTCACAGAGCCCCTTCACCATTGAATCAGTTTTTAACCCTGTACAGGGTCGCAACTATCTCAGTCATCTCCAACCAATTGTTCGCAATGCCACCGTTCCTCTGGGGTCCCGCTGAACTGGGTAATTGGGCATGCACGAGTCTAGTCGGTGTAGCCATTGCTTTTCCCATTGCTGGGCCCTTGACCGATACCGTCTCCTCATTCATCGGCCGCCGAAAGGGCAAACATATGCCCGAATACCGACTTGTCACTCTGGTGGTCCCATTCGTGTTCTCCTCATCAGGCCTGTTGTTGTTTGGGTATACATACACAAAGGGATCCTACGTTGGACCAGCAGTGGGTTATGCGATGCAAGCTGCCAGCCTCATGCTCATTCCCACTTCTGTTCTATCGTACGGTATCGATAGCTACCCTTACGACGCGGCCGAGGTTACGGCTCTGATGAACGCTGTCACACATATCATCCCCTTTGGACTGACAAAGACGGCTTCAAATTGGCTTGCCAGAGTCGGCGTGGAAAAGATGTTTCTACAGATGGCGATCATCCAGTGGGCTTTACTAGCTGGTTTTACCATAGTGCTGCTTGTATTTGGACCATGGATTCGGGCCAAGGCCGCTTATGTTCACCAGCATTATGGCGCTAAGAGATTTCTGTAGTCTAGATGGGAACGGGCCTACGTATCAAGGCAAGCATGCCTGATGGAGTGGTCCTCTCGAGCTCAATCTGAGCTCTCAAATAGTTTCTAGGCTTAGTTTGAATGATTACTATGTTCAGCTTTGCGTTTGTCTTCTCGGATGCGTGAGATGAACTAAGCTAACATATGTCGTTAGCTCTTAATTCGGTTATGAGAGCGAATTAAGCTATAACGTAAAGCCCAGGCTAGCTTGACGCGCGTCCTGCTCGAGATAAAAGACACACAATGGCGAAATCGCGACGCGTCCTATGAGACATTCTCAAGTAAACGCTTGTACTTTCTGTCTTATGAAACGAAGCGATTTCTCTCTATTGAGATGTG